GAACGGTCAAATTCCCCAACGCACACAGCGGTGCGTCGAGTGGATAATACCGGTAGGCGGTCGAATAAAAGCGGTAGGACGCGGAAGTACTGCAGTTCAAATACTTATGGAACGCCACTGTATTTTGTTCCCAATCCCTGCCATAAGGTTCAGCCACCGTGATACTCAACAATTCGCATTTGTGTTTCTTCATATTCGCAATTATTCATGAATATTCATATTCCTTTCGGAACTCTAAAGTCTGCAATGGCCCTTGACAGGGCGTTCTGGAAGTGAAAGGTTTCAATGGGATTCCGTCATCTCGTAAATAAGCTTTTGGGAGATGATTCCTTTCAATGACGGCCGATCGGCAGGGTGGTAATTAGGCCCGGGAACCTGGACACCGCCAGGTGGCTGGGTTCGACGACCCGATTAGCAATTTATACAAAGAGGCCCATCCCTCTTAAATAATTCAAATTAACTTTAGTTAGTTAACGTAATTCACCACCGAGCTGACCGCACCACCGAGCTGACCGCTTACCCACTTTTTCGCGTCCAGACGCGTCGTCCTATCTTTAACCATCCACCATGCCACCAAATCGCTCTCGATCAAGCCGAAATTCCATTGAACAAGAGGGTCGTATCCTCCTAGCTATTCAGGCTATTAAAAATGGAGATAAATCACCAATTCGTGTACTGGCACGGACTTATTCAGTCCCATACTCTACGCTTCGAACACGACTTCGCGGCACCCTAAATCGCGCCGAATCTCGCGCCAATGGCCATAAATTGACAGAAATCGAAGAGGGTTCGCTTCTTAAGTGGATTATCTCAATGGATACTCGCGGTGGAGCACCTAGACCGTCGACGGTGCGAGAAATGGCTGATTTACTACTCGCGAAGCGCGGTTCAACTAATATCGAAGTCGTTGGCCCAAATTGGGTTACAAAATTTATTAAACGGCATCCTGAGCAGCTAAAATCGCGCTTCTCACGACGATACGACTATCAATGCGCAACGCAAGAGGATCCAAGAGTTATCCAGCAGTGGTTCGACACCGTACAAGCTACAATTCAGCAATATGGTATCGTTGACGAAGATATAATTTTGACGAGACTGGCTTCGCGATGGGCCTTACTGCGACCGCAAAAGTCATTACGCGGGCGGAATACTACGGTCGGCGCTCGCTTTTACAGCCCGGAAATCGCGAGTGGGTTACCGTAATCGAATCAATCAACGCAAGCGGGTGGACGCTTCCACCAACAATCATCTTTAAAGCTAAGCTATACCATTATGCTTGGTTCGACAATCTTCCAGGAGACTGGCGCTTTGAAGTAAGCGCAAATGGGTGGACGACAGATGAAATTGGGCTTCGATGGCTACAAAAATGCTTTATTCCAGCGACAAATAATCGCATAAAAGGCAGATATCGACTTCTTATCCTTGACGGTCACGGTAGTCATTTGACACCACAATTCGACGAAATCTGTGCTCAAAACAATATTATATCGATTTGTATGCCACCGCATTCATCACACCTACTTCAACCACTTGATATTGGTTGTTTTGCATCGCTTAAACGCGCGTACGGTAAGCTCGTCGAGCGTCAGATGCGTCTTGGTATCAACCATATCGACAAGCTTGATTTCCTCGAAGCATATCCACTCGCGCGCATTGAAACATTTAAATCAGTTACGATTCAAAATAGCTTTGCAGCAGCTGGTTTAGTGCCATTAGATGCCAACCGAGTGATATCAAAGCTAAATATTCGGCTTCGTACACCTACACCCCCTCGGAGCCGACCAAGCAGTCGATCTAGCGCTTTTAGCCCAAAAACCCCAAAAGCAAGCATTCAAGCACGTCGTCAAGCTTCATCAATCAAAGCTTTTCTTCGTCGACGGTCGCAAAGCCCATTACTTCGAGCATATCAAGCAATTGACCAGCTAGAGAAAGGGTTCCATAACGTCCGTCAAGAGCTTATAATTCTCACGAAGGAAATCCAGGATTTACGCTCAGAGAACGAGAAAAAGAAGCAAAAAAGGGCACGTACGCAGAGACGAGAAGCACATCCCACAGGCCTATCAGACCAAGAGGCCCAAGAGCTCTCACAACCTATTGAGCAGCCTATTCCTTTGGTTCAGCCCGTTCTGCCCAACCCAGTTCAACCGGTTCAAACTACAGCAGCACCCCTACAGAAGCGTCGATTTACCTGCTCTATATGTGGTGAGATAGGGCATAAGTCAAATAAATGTTCAGTTAGATAGTTTTATTAATATTACGGCGTTTTGGTTGATAAATACGCTATTAAATAGGAAGAGGGCGGGTGAGCGGTCAGCTCGGTGGTGCGGTCAGCTCGGTGGTGAATTACGTTAGATAATGCGGGTGCTTACATAACCTTTTGCTGTGGATGTATCAATTCCCCGTCGGATCATCCATAGACCCGGTTTCATGCAGTATTCGTAAGGTAATGCCGACATGATCAACATCCGGCCTTGGCCCGTTACACAAGAAGCCCCACTATTACAGTAGGCCAAACACTAACGTAACCCGTAAGCGAGTGGATCATGCACGCGGCCGGATCAGCCCAGAACACCATACTTAAGGCGATATTTTAGGAGTCTATACCTCAACACCTCTTATCTATTTTTAATCAACACTTTTATATTATCTTTATAGTAGCAATATAAGTACCTTAACAAATTTCCAGATATTTCAAGATAGTCTCATAGAAGATATATATGTTTGGCTTCGTTTAGTCAAAAATACAATGTAATTTATGGTAATTCTTCTAAAATCGATTTGAATTATTTCAAAATCTAATAGCTTTCTCTATGTATTTTAATAATACTATGTACTCAATTTTAATAAGTAATACTTTATTATGGTTGAGTTATTAAGTTATAAAATATCGCCTTAAGTATGGTGTTCTGGGCTGATCCGGCCGCTTGCATGATCCACTCGCTTACGGGTTACGTTAACAAATACGAAGTAACGTAACCCACAAGCGAACCGCCCACATAAGCGAACCGCCCACCCATCTCAACCTATAATTTTGATTTGCATATAAAATAACCACAACGCCATTAAATTATTGATATCACTGCTTCGGACATCTATTTATCTTATGCCCTATCCCTCCACAACCACTGCATCTTGGTGGCGCCCGTTGTCGTGGTGTATTAGTCTCATTTGCGACCGGAGCTAGTTCTGGATGAACAGGATCCAGAGATTCAACGGCTTGGTTCGAACTGAATATTACGTCTCTTCCCTCCTGAATTGACATGCCTTCAGTACGGTCGATGCGTTTATTAGACCTCTTGCGTTTTTGTTTCCGAACCTCATTGGCAGCGCGCAAATCCCGGATTTCTTTCTCCAACATCGCTAGCCTTTGAAGCGTGACATGGAAGCCTTTAAGAGTCTGCTCTACCACATGCTTTGTAGGCGTTGGAGGGCTCACGGATCGATATTTGAGTAGAGCTTTGACTGAAGATTCTTGCCGATATAATTGTTTTGTGTTGAGTGGTGTTGTAGGGCTCCACTCACTTGATCGGCTTCCTGGTCGGCTTCCTGGGGGGTTGGTGTTCGAAGCTGAATATTAAGCTTCGATATAACCCGATCGGGATCAAAGGGTATTAAACCAGCAGATTCGAATGCGCTCTGAATTATATCCGAGTGATATGAGATCTCGCGAGCGTGCGGGTAGGCGGCAAGGAAATCAAGCTTGTCAATATGGTTGATATTGCATCGAGCTTTTCGCTCAACCAAGCCACCATATGCGCGCTTTAGGTTCGCAAAACACCCGACATCTAGTGGTTGTAGCAAATGAGATGAATGCGCTGGCATGCAAATTGGTATAATATCATGTTCAGCGCAAAGTCGGTCGAATTGAGGTGTCAAATGGCTACCATGACCATCAAGGACTAGAAGACGATATTTACCCTTTGTACGGCTCGCCGTACTCGGAATAAAGAGATCTTTCAGCCAGCGAAGGCCAATAGCATCAGTTGTCCATCCATTATCACTGATTTCGATCCTCCAGTCCGGTCCTACCCCTTTATCTTCGTACCAAGCCTGGTGATGTGTCTTGGATTTGAAGATAAGACAAGGTGGTAATTTGAAGCCCGACGCACCAATACACTCGATAGATGTGACCCATTCACGATTTCCAGGTTGTTTAAGAGATCTCCGACCGTAGTATTCAGCACGGGTGACGACTTTTGCAGTAGCAATAAGACCCATTGCGAAGCCAGTCTCATCAAAGTTATATATATCGTCAGGTTGGATGCCGTTCTCATTAATCGTGCGTTGAACCAAGTCGAACCACTCTCGTATGACCTTTGGATCCTCGCATTTTGCTCGTTGGTAGTTGTACTTTCGAGAGAACCGAGATTTAAGATCATCATGGCGATTAACAAAGTTGTAGACCCAGTTGACGCCAACAGTCTGCGTACAGCGTTCGGCTAATAGAAGATTGGCCATTTCTGCCACCATAGCAGGCCGAGGAGCTGATCCACGTGAATCCATAGAGAGCACCCATTGTAGAAGTGATCTCTCCTCGTCTTCTGTCAACTTATGGTTGTTGGCGCGTGTTTCTGAGCGACTTTGTTGACCGTTGACGCGATCGCGTAGAGTGGACCAGGGGACGTCGAATTGGCGTGCTGCTTTGCGAATAGAGGTAATTTGACCATTTTGAATGGCATGCAGGGCTAATGAGATTCTGCCCTGCCTATCCTGCGAAAATCGGGCAGAACTAGATCGATTTGGTGGCATGGTGGATGGTTATAAAAGAGAGGTTATAGTACTCAGATCAAAATTGATGGGGTGGGCGGTTCGCTTGTGTGGGCGGTTCGCTTGTGGGTTACGTTATGAGTCACATTCTATTTCATTTAAGACCCTGTTGGAACTTGGAATTCATTCTTGTGTTTCATATCTCTTTGTTTTTCTCCAACATTTGGAACTCGGGTGTTATTCACAGTCTGATTTTTTTTTACCACAACATGTTACATCGCGCATTATTCAACATGTCGATCAGAACAAGACCCAACAAAATGCATCGGCAGGACATTGCCCACGAAACACAACGCTTGACCCCAAATATCATGAGTACCACCGTTGGAGCATCTTCTGAGGCAAAACTATACCACCAACTATTACCACGCATTGTTAGGAGATCCGGTGGGAAACCACGAATCACCGTCCAAGATCAAGATACCTTCACAGCTGCCAGATGCATTCTAAGCACCAATTCCCAGGTTCGGGTAGGGATTTTGAATATGGCCAGTGAAAAGAACCCCGGAGGAGGATGGCTACGAGGAGCATTAGCTCAGGAAGAAGCTTTATGTTTACGCAGCACTCTGGCCGCAACATTGAACAAGGAATGGTATCCTCTTCCATCATATGGTGCCATCTGGTCCCCGAAAGTAGCTGTTTTTCGCGATGAATTGGAGAATGGTTATCGCGTTTACAATCCTGAGCAAAGATTCATTGTGGGCGTTGTGAGTCTAGCTGCATTGCGTCGACCAGCGCTCACCAAGGATAAGAAACAATTTGGTACGTGTTGAATGTCAATGATAAATATCCGAATCCTTGCAATGCAATTTGCTGACTATACTAGCAAACCCAAATGATGTCCAAGTTTTGAAGAATAAAATGCGTCAGATAATGCGCATTATAGCCGACAATAATATATCATACTGTGTTCTGGGAGCAATGGGCTGTGGGGCATTCCAGAATCCTCCATATGAGGTTGCACGAATCTATAAGGAAGTTCTTGGCGAGGAGGAGTGGGATGGGGTTTTTGAGGAGATTGTATTTGCAGTGTTGGATACGAGGGGGAGTCGAATTATAGGATATTCAAGGGTATCCTTGAAGAGGAAGAGTGAGATGTATTTATAGGATAACACTCGGATTAACACTTATATGTATGTACCTATACGTACCGGATTATCTCGAATGACTGCAGCTTTCCTCTTCTGGCCGCCGCCGCTTTAGTGAGGGTACTCAGGGGCTTGCTCAGTGAGTATTCTCATCACTGATGGTTGCTGCTTGTTTTGTATTATGTCATCAGCCCCCTAACTAAATTGGGGAATTGTTAGGGACACCGCAAAATTGTTGTTAACGTAATCCACGGCCGACCTGTCCACTTTCGCGTCCAACCTTCCGGCAACATCTTTCAACGCGTTGTTTTTACACCACCAGCATACAAAATGCCTCTTTCCCAAGAAAATCGAATGCAAATGGCTATTGCGGCTTACAAAAACAAAAAAATTGGATCAAAATCAAGGCTTGCGGCAATATTTGGAGTGCCTAAATCCACCTTACTCTCTCGGCTGAAAGGAATCAAACCACGGTCGGAAACACGCGCTAGCGGCCATAAATTAACAGCGACTGAAGAAGAAGCACTAGTTAAACGGCTACTAGATGCTGATAAACGAGGATTTTCAATTCGGCCAGAGTTTCTACGTGGAATGGCGCAGAATTTACTCCAAGCGTGTCTACAGGATCCTTCAGCAACCCTTGGGGTTAACTGGGCCTACTCCTTTACAAAACGCCGCCCTGAAATACAAACAAGATATAACCGGAGGATTACATACCAGCGAGCAAAGCAGGAGGATCCAAAGGTTATAAAACAGTGGTTTGCGACCGTACGCGAAGCTATTCAAGAACATGGTATCCATGAGGATGATATGTGGAACTTTGACGAAACCGGCTTTGCAATGGGACTCTGTTCAACCTCTAAGGTTATCACTGCGGTAGATCGTAGTGAAAGACCTCGGAGAGTTATTCAGGGAAATCGCGAATGGGTTACAATCATTGAATGTGTGAGCTCGAAAGGCATTTCTATACCTCCATGGGTCATCTTAAAGGCTGGATCTCACCAGGTCGCTTGGTATCAAGAGCCTGCTATCAAGAATGGCTGGGTTCTTGCAAGAAGCCAAAATGGCTGGACAACAGATGAAATAGGCCTTGCTTGGCTAAAAGAGACATTTGAGCCATATTCTAAACGCCTTTCAACCGGTGCGAAGCGATTACTTATTCTCGACGGCCATTCTAGCCACCAAACTGCAGAGTTTGATGCTTTTTGCAAAGAGAATGCAATTATCTGTCTCTGTATGCCTCCTCATACCTCTCATCTACTACAACCACTCGATGTTGGTGTTTTCGGCCCGTTAAAACGTTCCTATGGGAAATTGGTTGAAGGAATGATGACTGCCGGCAACAATCATATCGACAAGGAAGACTTCCTACACCTATATCCTCCTGCACGCGAGATGGTTTTTAATCTAGAGAATATACGGAATGGCTTCGCAGGAGCTGGTCTTAGGCCACTTAACGAAGACCGGGTCTTCGAAAAGATTACATTTCAACTTCGGACGCCAACACCACCTCTTGTCGAAGGATCAATATCCTCTACTTTTCAAACACCTGAGAATCCTCGCCAGCTATATCATGAGGTTCGCAGTCTACAGAGAAGCCTTCGAAAAAGAATGCTCTCTAGTAGCCCAATTTCTCATATTCAACATCTTGAAAAGGCTGCGCAGATGGCAATGAACATGAACGTTCTTCTCCAACAAGAAATCAAGGTTCTACGCGATGAGAATGAGCGGAAACTGAAAAAGAAGGCAAGAAGGCGTGGTAAGATAGGCGACGATCTCTTTTTATCTAGAGATGAGGGTCAAAATCGCGTTCAGCAGTTTGATACGCAGCCGAACGAGCAACATAGTGAGCCTACTGCTAGGCCATGCCAGCGAGCTCCACGGCGCTGCAGTGGGTGTGGGACTATAGGACATACTGTAAGAAGTTGTCCTAGTAAATAGCTATATATTCAGCGATTAGATAGTCTAATATAATTTTGTCTCGTGGGTGAAAAGCCGCAATTTTATTGAGGGTGCGGTGAAAGTGGACAGGTCGGCCGTGTGGACAGGTCGGCCGTGGATTACGTTAACGTGATTCCCGGCTAGCCGGTCATCCCGGCTACGCGGTCACCCCATCAAAAATTCAAAAATTGTAAAATCTTCAACAACGATTTTAATACCCAAAAATGATTGAATTTTGCTGTTTAAACTTTCTGTGGACATCTAGAGATATTGTGATCTTGTTTTCCACACCCAGAACAGGTTATCCGGCGTCGTATAGCAGGTAAAACCGGTAGTGAAGGTTCAACAGTAGGTTGTGGAGCAGCTACGAGACCAGATATATATTCACCTGCACCACCTCCTTCTCCACCAACAGGATGTATGATATCCAAAACTTCGGTCAAACTGCCTTCATGAGCAATTTGCCTTCTAGATCTAGCTCTTTTCTTCACCTGTTTTTTGTTTGCCTCCCGTAAACGCTTGATTTCATCCTTCATTAAGATATGCGAATGAAGCATTTTGACGGTCATGTTATAATACTGTTGAAGATCTCGCTTAGTGGGCGAAGAGATCTTATCTGTGACTGAACTTAGGCCAGAATCGAGCCTAGATTTCCTTTTTTTGAGTTGTTTGGTTGTCTGAGGGATACCGGCAGAGATATTGCTATCAGAAGTTGAATTCTGTGAGGTTGGTCGATCCGGGAGAGGTGGTGATTGAAGACGAATATTGAGCTTTTCTAGCACGCGATTCGGGTCTAAGGGAACTAAACCAGTAGCCGCAAAGGCATTCTGAATAGTAGCCTCTTTAAAAGCGTGCCCTCGTGTTTGTGGAAAAATCTCTAGGAAGTCGTCTTTCTCAATTATGTAACGAACTTGCTGACGAACTCCATTGCATAGTCGATTCAACCAACCCAAGCTCGAACCAAGTTGTTGGTTTCCGTTGCTCTGGTAAATGTAGTGCTGGTGGTGAGAAACAAACAACGTCTTTGTGATCAGGTCTTGGAAGTATACCCCCCCCTGGAATTCTTCTGGAAGCAAACAGCCCTTGATCACCGACGCATCCCCGTGGCTGTAAGTTGATTTCGTAAATATGCTTCGTTGAATCCCCATCAGCACAAGAAAACATAGGGCTGGGAAAGGCATGGTGGACCACAGTAGGGGAAGAGTGGATGGCATCACCAAGGAAGAGGAAGTTTTGCCACTACGTCTGGGGAGGCCAGATGGTGCAGATGTTTCAGGGATACGCTGGTTTCGTATGGTGCCTTGCTGTCCCCAACTTGATCTACTCATCTTGTATATACAGGATTCTTTGCGGTCTGGATTGGAAGAGTCAGTTGCAGGATCCGCGATGGTCAATAAATGTTTCAGGTTGTCCGCTGAAGCCATGGCTCGATTCCACAAGCACTCCGTTGTGACAATGTCCCTGAACTTAGAAAGCTTATTTACGGGGAACTACTCACTCCCTTGTTTCCTCAGTCCCACTTTCATGAGGTCCAAGACCAAGCGAAATTGCAGATCGCAATCTCCTAACGACAAATGACACAATCTGGAAACAGGAGCAACTCATTTGAATGAAAAGCAAGTGAACTGAAAGGATGGAGAGTCTGGGTAAATGAATGATAATGTCTCCATAATCACGAGACACCTTAGCCTCAGACGACAGGTATCTGAGAATATAAAAGGGTCGAATCGACACTGACGACGGAGATTTACGTATCAAAACCTCTCATTTTTCAGCTAAGACACCAAATAATCATATCATGATGAAGTCCCTCCTTCCCTGCGCTCTCGCCGTGTTGTCCGCAGTGTGCGCCCAGGCAAACGAATGGCACGCCTACTACCGCCTCACACCTGACGCTTACCAAAAGAAGTTCGACGAGATGGTTGGCCAAGGCTACCGTCTGAACTCTGTGAGTGGGTATGAACACGATGGCCAGCCTAATTTCGCTGTCATTTTTGAGAAAAAGCCCTCCGCCCCCTGGCAGTCGTACTCTGGCCTCAGCTTCAAGGCACATGACGAAAAATTCAATGAACTGCAAGCGCAAGGATACCATGTTGCGCAAGTCAATGGATACACGATCGACGACAAGGACTACTATGCCGCCGTTTGGGACAAGTCTCCCGTCATTGCGTGGCAGTCTCGCACCGGTATGTCTGAATCCGGCATGCAGGCATACTTCAATGAATATGCGCGCCAGGGCTATAAGCTCACACATTTGAGCGGGTATGAGGTGGCCAACGAGACCCGCTTTGCCACAGTCTGGGAGAAGGCCAATGAAAAAGCCGCCTGGTGGTCGCAGGCCAATCTGACCAGCGATGAGTATCAAGCCACCTTCGACAAGCTCAAGAGTGAGGGCTACCAAGCGGTCGACATCGACGGCTATCAAGTTAATGGTACTGTCTTCTATGCTGGAATCTGGGAAAAGACACCCTCTCGGGCTTCAATTACCCGTTATGACTTGGATTCGTCAACCTTCCAGGCCGACTTCAATCAATACCGCGCCCAGGGCTATGTGCTACGCACTTTTAGTGGCTATAATGTGGGCAAGGACGATCGCTATGCCGCCATCTGGGTGAAGCCGTAATTGTCTGACAATTTTGCGCACTCTTCACTTAAGTCTGCGGTAAGTTGTGGGTTACAGTATATGTAGCCTGCACACCTGAGCGTCTTCTGTGCCTGTTCCGAGTTGCGGCAGGCTGTCCTCTCGTTTTGTTTCCGTTCGTTCTTGGCTCGACCACCAGACCTTTTTTGTTATTTTTCCTTTCTTTTTCTAAGTTCAGACTAAATAGATATGCACTCCGTATGAGTGAATTTATAATTTGGTTATTCCACGCATTCAATTTTTGATCCATTATGTAACGATCACCCACAAGGTCCCGTCAGCAGTATCCGTCATTGTTTTTTCATCTTCCCATACACATCCCGTCAAACTGAAGACCGTCCAGAGCTCTGCTCTGTGTCAATCTGAACGCCTCGTTTGGCAAGTATAGCGCCCGTCACTGATTCGGCGCCCCATTTTTCTGCCTTTCTTGAAGGGTTGGTCCGTTTGCTATAGCCCACTATAATGGCACCTGACCGTGGCATTCCTTCGAGTCCGCGCCTACCTTCTAGCTCGCAGTGCCACTACGCAAGGGGCTGCCATACGGAAGAGAGCTGGGGCAGCCAGAATCGCCAGAGCCAACGCCGAGGCTGAACCTGAAGCTGAATCCTCTACAGCTCCTAAAGCAAGAGCTGCAGCTGCGAAGGGTAAAGGACCTCGTCGTACAGCTACTCCTACACGATGGCCACGGCGTAGGGTGACTCGCCAACGAAAAGTCCACTTTAACACAGGCCTTGGCTCCTAAACCCACTGCTAAAGCCCTGGCGGCTGCACCAAGCTCTGATATCCAATTCGAGGATCCTATTGATAAGGTAAAGATGAGGAGGAGGGAGATCTGGATGACGAGGAGGGTCCGGACGAAGAAGACGAAGAGGACAACACTGCACTTTCTTCAATCGGCAACTCGGATCTCCCTGGTGGGATGGAGGAGGTAATGGAAGAGCTGTACACGTCAAAGGAGAAGGCCAAGAGAATGCTTGAAAAAGACTATCTTGGTACGATCCGAAGGCGTCATCCTGAAGGTTCTAATTAAGATCTTCCTCACAGCATTTAAACTAGTGATGTAGAGCCTGTTCTTGAAGCTGCCATGCTTCAAGCCGACTTCTTAATAAGTCTGCACCCTAATATCCGTGTCAACAAGAAGCCGTTGGTGGAAAAGAACCTGGAGGATAGTACTCGCCGTCACTTTGACTTCTGGGCTATTGAAGCTGCGATGCTCAGCTGTATAACCCCTATCCTTCAGAATGAATAGTATGAAATACAGATAAGAAGGGCCAGTGTTAAGCTTTCATCGTCCCCGTGTCAGTTGTCATAATATTGATGGTTATGACCGTGTCAACGTAGATAGGGTGCTGGGGCTTGTCAACAAGCATCACTTTACTCGCAGCTCTGGCCTAGTGCAGCCGACCTTCGATATTTCAGTGGTTTGTGGAAGAACTAAACCTTCTACTGAAGCTACAAAGACGCCATTCAAAGCTTTATTTAACAGAATCATGGCATACCTTCATCATATATGCCTAGTTCTCCTCCTATATCTTAAAGATGAGATACAACTTGGTCAGATCGCCTACACGAGCAACATGATGCCCGGTTGAATACTATACCGACAGCAGGCAACTTTCAGAGACAATTAATGGTCCGCTGGCGGTGCAAGGACTCCAATTGTACGAGCAGTGATGGTTTCTGCTTCCCAGTCTCTCTCGAACGCTCAAAACACTATAATATCACCGGATGCGCAACATGAGACATGGGCAAACGCTATTGGCACAGGTGTCAGTCGCTCAAGCAGACTTTAATACAGCAAACTAAATCAGCTATGGAGCGTATGACGTCAGCTATGAATCGTATGATGGAGATGTAGCAACAAATGCAAGAACAAGCGCTTCGAAAGCGGATTCACAACCCAATCTCACGAGCCTCAGTCATAACCCTTTAAGGGAATATCTCACATCTCCCTGCTCAACCGCGGGGGCTCTCAGCGGCCCAGAAAAATGACCTTAATCTTGCCGTGGCCGCCCGCGTTGCCTTCGCCGGATTCCTTCGGGTCGGGGAATTTACATACTCAGCTACCGACCTCAGAGACACTCAAGTCTTCGCTGCTACTAAATTAACCCGGGCGGATGTCAGGTTCTCCCCCACCATGGACCACGTTCTCCTTACTTTGAAGAGAAGTGTTAGAGGAAGGCGGTAGATCGGGGCAGTACGCGCCCCACTCTCCTTACTCTCCACTTCTCGCTCCTCTCCTTCCACTCTCTCCAAGATAGATGCCAATGAAGTCAATCATCTGCCACACTTTCCACACCATCTAACAAGAAGCAAGACCGACCGAAACCACGAAGGTATCAATGTTGTCCTTGCAGCGAAAAACGACGCAGCCTGCCCCGTCGAAGGCCTTTCTAAGCTATTCCTCCATGATTCTCAACCTATGACTGCTCCTCTATTTGCGCTCTCCTCTGGTCCTTTCACCTCATCCACCTTCCAACGTGCGGTTATCTCTAAGCTCAACCGCGCCGGGGAAGACACCGCGGGACTTAAGGGTCATAGTTTCAGGAAAGGGGCAGCACAACACGCCCACAACGAGGCCTAAGAAATGACCACATCCAAGCCCTCGGGAGATGGGCTTCCGAAGCCTTCCGCCTTTATTTCACAACACCTAGAACAACACTATATGCCTGGAACTGTCAATTCCAGACCGGTCATCCAACTCCGGTCTCATCTTCCATACCACCAGCCCCTCCACCATCCTCTTTTGGCCCACCGGGTCATTTGGGCCCGCCTGCAGCCCTCACGGCGCCGTAGCCCTCCATCAACGAGGTCTGCATCACCAGTGTTCAGACCGCAGGTGCCCCGTGCGGGCCAAAATATCTCATCCGTCTCGATCTGTGCCAGTGTAGCAATGGTTGGAATAGATCCACTCTTTGTATTCGTCGAGTTTTTCAGCACATTTACAATACACCGTTCTTGACCCCTATTTCCGACAAAAGGACAGGGCCTGAGGCCCAGCTGGGTAAATCCATGGCATTTGTCAGCACGTTTGATAAAACTCCTTGGAGAGGATTCAGGAAAATCATGGTTTGTTGTGGGCCTTGTTTGAACATGGAAAACGATGAAGTGCTTGGAAAACGTGAGAAAGTTTATTCGCGAGAAAGTTTATTCACGAGTCAGCAATCCTGGAGTTCCAAAAACAGAAGGAAAACATTTGGGGCAATTCTCCAACATCATTTTAGGGACCCAAACTCTCTGAATCGAGAGTCATTTTGTGATGATGATTTCACTCTTTGATTCTTGTTCTTTGGTTCTCGGAAATAAGGTTTTTCGGGGGTTAAAATTCTGGTGGCTAGGAGCCCTTCAAGGAGCAGTTGATTAACTCAAGGACCATCCGGCACAGCCATTGGCTTGTATTTCGATGCTTGGCCCAAGTGAGTGCGGTGACACCAATCAAACCCCTAACCACATTGTTCGGTAGGCGTACATGGAACGTTCGGTGCAAATTTGCTTTCTATGGGGCAACTTAGCTCATGGAGAATGGGGCAAACCGAAATTCAAATTCGGAGGCAGAATTGATTCTGTGATTATTTGAAGACCCCGAGCTTCTTGGTTTCTCACATCTCCCACGTTCTCCTTTCTTGATTCCAGAGCCAGACCGCTGGATTCTGAGACTGCAAACACCTCTCCGCAGGCTTGTCCTTGTATCTGTCTGTCTATCGTTTGATTTGTGTTTGTGGATCTCTTGCCATTCATAGGTCAAGTGTCAGTCAGTATGGAGACGGTGGCACACACTCCCCAGCCCACTGCGGACGAGAGCGACAAGGTAGGCAAGCACGAGCCGACCCACGAGGAGGAGATTGGCCTCAAACATGAGGAGGTCGTTGATGCCTTTGGTAACGAGGAGAATGCCGAGATCAAGTATAAGACCCTGAAGTGGTGGCAATGTGGTCTTCTGATGATTTGCGAGTCCGTCTCGCTGGGCGTGCTGTCTCTGCCGTCCGCGGTAGCTACGCTGGGCCTGGTGCCGTGAGTATATCCTTATCTATCCTGCCTACAGTTAGCTCTGGATCAGTTGGATTAACCTGTCTATTTTTTCATGTAGCGGTGTAATCCTCATTGTTGGCCTGGGTCTGCTCGCTACCTACACCGGCTACAACATCGGATTGATGCGTGAGCGGTACCCTCACATCCAGAACCTGGCAGACGCTGGTGAGATTCTCTTGGGCCGCCTTGGCCGCGAGCTCTTCGGTGCGGGCCAGTTCCTGTTCTGCATCTTCATCATGGGAAGCCACATCTTGACCTTTCGTGTCATGATGAACACCATCACCAACCACGGCACCTGCTCAATCGTCTTCAGTCTGGTCGGCATGATCATCTCCCTGGTGCTGTCCATCCCGCGTACTATGAAGGGCATGATCTGGATTTCATTCTGCTCTTTCTTGTCCATCTTCAGCGCCGTCATGATCACCATAATCTCCGTCGGCGTCGAGCAGCACCCCGGCCGCATCATTGAGGCCACCGTCGACACCACCCTGTACACCGCGTTCCAGGCCGTATCCAACATCGTCTTCGCCTATTGCGCCCACGTCGCCTTCTTCGGTCTGATCGCCGAGATGGAGACCCCAAATGACTTCAAGAAGTCCCTGTTCATGCTCCAGGGCTTCGAGATCTGCCTGTACCTGACCGCTGGAGTGGTCGTCTACTGCTACGTCGGCAAGGACGTGTCCTCGCCCGCCCTGAGCTCTGCCGGCCCACTGATGAAGAAGGTCGCCTTTGGCATTGCCATCCCGACCATCGTCGGTGCTGGTGTCGTCAACGGCCACATTGGCCTGAAGTACATCTACTTCCGCCTCTGCTCCAAATCGGACCTGATCCACCAGCGCAACTGGAAGTCCATTGGCCTGTGGCTCGGCCTGGGCGTATCCTGCTGGATTGTCGCTTGGATCATTGCCGAGGCAATCCCCGTCTTCAGCGACCTGAACTCCCTGATCAGCGCTCTCTTCGCCAGCTGGTTCAGTTACGGTCTCAGTGGTATCTACTGGCTGCACCTGAACCGCGGCCAGTGGTTCGCCTCGCCGCGCAAGGTCGCGATGACCGTGCTCAACGTGGCCATCGCCCTGTTTGGTCTTGCTCTGTGCGTGCTGGGCCTGTATGCTTCCGGCACTGCCATCCATGATGACTCCAGCAAGGCCAGCTTTACCTGTGGCAACACGGACAGCTAGACTGTTAGTTTTGTTGGGAGAAGAGGTATAGATGAGAATACTCCTAATAGACAGCCCAAGTGAGACGGAATTAGAAATTGGAGGTTGGAATAACCCCCGAATGGAAGGGTGCTTTGTACCCCTCTCTGAAACTACAATATCGGAACAATACGGAGGGAAATACGTCGTCCTGTGCCGGATGTATCTCGTCATAGGAGTGTTTTGCAGGAGACCTCAGCGGTAGAAGGTTCCTTGGCAGGCTTGATGTATACCTGAATGTTTCCTGTACAGACCCATATTTGCATATAGGTAGCTCTCTTGTGCATGGATTGTGATTCTATAGAATAGAAACTCGATATCTCAGGACAGATTACTGGCTCATCTTATCCGGGAAACTTTCTGGAACAAATTCCCTTGGTGCCATCGCCGGCCGGATTTTAGGTCGCTAACAAGATTCACCCCTACTTGTAGCTTTTGCTGGAGATCTTTCTGTTGTTTTACCTTTGCTTCATTCCCCGACTTGACAATTTGTTTGATCGCCACGAGCTCTTGGTGCATATCACGTTGCTCGGCTTGGCTGCCGCTGTTGTGTGGGCAGATATTCTCTCGGTGACTCGGTGAATGTCGTCGATGATATCGTTGTATCTTAGGGGCGCAGGCTTCGTAATGGAGTGTATAGCTCCTCTCAACGACCCTTCTGATTTCACACGTGGTAGAGGATTCGCAATGTCCAGGACACCGTTCACGATAGCGGATCCTATTTTCTTGTGTTCCACAATTGCCTGACAAAGGACATTTGAGGAAGAGCATCAATTTGGATGGGGCTGTTGGGACATACCTCAAACAATAATTTTATAGTTCCCCATTCTAGAGAAACATATTCCGGATGATGCTGAACCAAGACATCCATAGCATTTCCGTAATAAGGAATTCTCTCCGACACTTGCTCCATACATCTTCTCATTTTTGATTCCAACCGAATTTGTCATAATGCTGCCTTGTCTCATCAACGGCACCAGGAAGATCTTCCACAGTGGTTACGTTGAGGCCCTCTAGGCGGCGCTTCTTTTTGGATCCGTCGTTCCTTGAGCTTCGAATATGGCTCGCGCTTCCTTAAATGCCAGCTCCGCGAGTTTCAAGAGGCCAGAGCTGTGAATGGTCGGACTAAAAAATGGATTGAAGCTAATACTATGTATGTACGCACCCACTAGCCATGTACTAATTTGAGTACTGGGTGGAAATATTCCCACTTGCCATAGTATTGGGAGAATTCTTGCAAGGTTTCTCTCAGTACCATATTGTGAATATCTCGTTGGAACAAGTGGCTGCCTGTGCTGCCTGATCAACTCTTGGCCAGCCTTAGAAAAGGCTGACTCGCTGCGCTAGACCACCCCCTGCATGCACCTGGGTGCCCCCTCACCTTACGTGCTATGCCCACCACACATGCTTCCTACTCCGTGTTGGGGATCTAGTGGTTGCACTTAGAAGCTCACCATCAAACATCGCCCTTTAAGTGCTCCATCAAATCTCACCCACGAGTTATCCCGGCTCGCCAGGGTCGTCTGAAGCAACAGCTACAGCAAAATCTTGCCGATCGCACTGTGGAAAGAACGGAAGCCGATCGAACACCAGATGAACGGGCTGAATGGGCACAATTCAATCATTTGACCATTTCAGAGAACCAAACTCAGGGAAGCCTAATAGACGAATCGAGACTTTTATCCCTGCACCAGCGAGAAGATACCCAAGAAAAGTCTCAGGATTATTATTCCCAGCTGATGCTCCTTGAGCAATGGAACAATTTACGATTAATGATGGCCTGTCAAGAAAGTGAGAAACTTTCTCAACCTCCGGGATCATCTTCCCGGCCACGTACTACAAACAATTCAAAGATGTCGACGAATGAAAAAGACAACAATCAGGGAAGCCGAGACTCCGAGATTCCAATTTCTATATCGACTCCACAACCCAGCCTCGAACAATGATCACGACGATGATTCCGAGGACCTGAAGAAATCAGTCGCCATGTTCAAAGATTGCCCGGAAATTGTGTATATGCCAAATGGTGATGCCCATCTCCGATATAGCATCCGTCTTCAGAACTTTGATCTTTTCCTCGCGCTTAATTCTGATCTCTCATTCGTTGTGTTTCGTAACTACAGCAAGAAAAGCAAGACTTGTGGCATCGGAAGTGGCCAATCGCCACAGCTTCCATGGTCCATTTCTGAGTGTATCCACCCCGTTGCGAAAGAATTGAAAACTGCGTTGTATGCCATACTTGACGCGAAACCTGAATTCAGTGACATCCGAAGAGAGTATAATAAGAGTGGGGAATTCTTTGCGCCGTAACTCTTCATGTATCATAGTCGCCAAGACATCGAGGATATCAAAGATCAGCTGTCTGCAGTTGAAGTTGATCACTGGACCTTTTTATGCGGTATTTAGATGAGGAGTTCGGCGAGGAGTACAAAGGCGTCGATTATCTCATACAAAAAGGACATATACCCCCACGTTACATCCATTATCTATTTCAACCAGGTCACATCCTAGTTTAGAGGGCTGAGAACGAGTACACGGGCTACGTCGCACAATCTTGGCTCTCTAAGGAAGCTAAGAAATCCGAGCCAAGGATCTCCAGCAACATCTTCGGTGAGCTTACCAATACTAAGCCTCGTGAGAAATCGAAGACCAGATAGGGAATTGTTACGGACACTACAGGATTTAACGTAATCCACAAGCGAGTCGGTACCACAACCGAGTCGGCAATTTCTCCGTCATCACTAGAATATTAAAGCATTTCAACCACCAACGCCATTAAATTAGACTATATAAAAGATAAAATAAATAGCTACTTATTAGGACAACTTCTTATGGTATGTCCAACAGTCCCGCAACTACTGCAGCGTGCTGGAGCTCGCTGGCGAGGCCTGGATGCCTGCTCCTCAACCTGCTCCTCAACCTGCGTATCAAGCTGCTGGAGACGATTTTGACCTTCCTGTACAAATAAAATAAGGTCATTACCTAGAGTAGCACGCCTCCTTGCCTTCTTTTTCATTTTCCGCTCATTCTCAGCCCGTAGAACCTTGATTTCTTGTTGAAGAAGTAGGTTCGTATTCATTGCCATCTGCGCGGCCCTCTCAAGATGTTGAATATGAGACATCAGACTGCTAGAAAGTTTCCTTTTTTGAATGCTTCTCTGCATTCTGCGAATCTTATGGTCAAGCTGGCGAGGATTCTGAGGTGTTTGAAAAGCAGAGGAGATTGAACTTTCAACTTCAACAAGAGGTGGTGTTGGCGTACGAAGCTGGAAAGTAATCTTGTCAAGAACTCGGTCTTTATCAAGTGGCTTAAGACCAGCACCTGCAAAGCCTTTGCATATATTCCCTCGAGTGAAGACCCTCTCGCGCGCGGATGGATATATGTCGAGGAAGTCTTCCTTATCAATATGGTTATTGCCGGCAGCCATCATCTCCTCAGTCAATTTCCCGTACGCGCGTTTAAGCGGCCCAAAAACACCAACATCCAGTGGTTGAAGAAGATGAGAAGTATGGGGAGGCATGCAGAGGCAGATTATTGCATTCTCTTTGCAAAAATCATCAAATTCTGCAGTCAGATGGCTAGAATGGCCATCAAGAATAAGCAATCTCTTCGCACCAGTTAAATGATGTTTGATTGTGGTTCAAACATCCCTTTTGCCAGCGAAAGGCCAATCTCATCTGTCGTCCATCCATTCTGGCTTCTTGCGATAGCGTAGCCCTTATTGAAGAGAGCAGATTCTTGATACCAAGCAGCCTGGTGTTTTTTTGCTTTCAAGATGATCCACGGGGGTATACGGATCCCTTTCGAGCTCACGCATTCAATAATTGTGACCCATTCTCGATTCCCCTGGATAACTCTTCGAGGTCTTTCACTACGCTCCACCGCAGTGATGACCTTGGAGGTTGAACAGAGTCCCATTGCAAAGCCAGTTTCGTCAAAATTCCAGATGTCATCCTCATGGATACCATGTTCCTGAATAGCCTCATGCACAGTCTCAAACCACTGTTTTATAACCATCGGATTTCCTGCTTTGCACGCTGGTATGTAATCCTCCGATTATATCGTGTACGTAGCGCTGGATGGCGTTTAACAAAGTTGTATGCCCAGTTAACACCAATGGTTGTGGTAGGATCCTGGGTACGCTCACGAAGTAAGATCTGCGCCATTCCACGCAGAAACTCAGGTCGAATCGATAAGCCTCGTTTATCTGCGTCTAGCAGGTGCTTGATCAAGACTTCTTCTTCATGAGCTGTTAATTTATGGTAATTGGCACGCGTTTCCGACCGTGATTTCATTCTGTTGTGATATGTCGTATCGTAACGGAATCAATTCCTAACCTCACGGAATTACCAGCTTTGATTAGAAATCAATCTGGAGGTCGCATGTGTATATAAACCCTCAAGTTTTCTGTCCAGATAGAACACAAGCAATCTTCCTCTGAATTACAACACATTCCCTTGAGCCGATCTTGAAGGGTTGACCTTGGTACGCCAAATACTCCAGCAGCTTTTGATTGATATTGGATTTGCTTGCTTTTGTACGCGTGTATGGCCATTTGCATTCGGTTTTCTTGAGATAGAGGCATTCTGAATAGTGGTGGTGGAATAAAGTCGCGTTGAATAGTGCTTGATGGTGGTGCTAGGGAAAACTTCCGACTCGGTTGTGGTGCCGACTCGCTTGTGGATTACGTTAAATCCTGTAGTGTCCGTAACAATTCCCGTCCCTAACGTGGATCCCTGCCGGTCCGTCATCTCTCCTCAAATTTTCTGCCCCTACCCAGCCACCTATTCTTGAACGCCTACCATGCCCCCAAAACGCAGTCAAAAAGCTCAAAAATCAATTGAGCAGGAAGGCAGGTTCTTGCTTGCTATTAAGGCTATTCAAAATGGCAGAAATACCACGATAGCTGCTGCTGCTCGCTCTTTTGATGTCCCCCGCACAACTCTTGCTGATCGGATGAAGGGCATTCCTAATCTATATGAAGCAAGAGGTACAGGCCATAAATTCACGCAACTGGAAGAGGAATCAATTCAGGATTGGTTAATCTCTATGGATCAGAGAGGCGCTGCGCTTACAATCGCGATGTTGAGAGATATGGCCAATTTACTGCTTAAACACCGCGGAGATAATGCCCTCCAGACCGTTGGCAAAAATTGGCCAACACAATATATCAAACGACATCCTGAGCTTACTACTCGATTCTCTCGCAAATATGACTACAAACGCGCCCTAATGGAAGACCCAAATACTATTATCGAGTGGTTTAAGCTTATCGAAAAAACGATAGCTCAATATGGTATCACTTCAGATGATATCTACAACTTTGACGAATCGGGGTTTGCGATGGGAATTAGTGCGACGACGAAGGTTATTACGCAGTCATCTTACACCGGTCGGAGGGGCGTTTTACAAGCTGGCAATCGCGAATGGGTGACTGTTATCGAATCAATTTGCGCCTCTGGACGAGCGCTCCCACCATACGTTATCTTTAAGGGGAAACACTTCATGGTACGATGGTTTGACGACCTTCCAAAACATTGGGCTCTTAACGTTAGTCCAAACGGCTGGACAAGTAATGAAATTGGTGTTGATTGGCTCCAAATTCACTTTATTCCGCGCACGACAAGTCAGACGAGAGGGAAACATCGTCTTTTGGTCCTCGATGGCCACGACAGTCATCTTACAGCAACATTCGACAAGATTTGCCAGGAAAACGACATCATACCAGTCTGTATGCCTCCGCATGCCTCTCATCTTTTACAGCCTCTTGATGTTGGTTGTTTTGCTGTATTAAAGCGCTCTTATGGAACGCGGGTTGCAGAATATACCCGATTAGGCATCGATTCTATCGAGAAAGATGATTTCCTTGATATTTTTCCAGCAGCGCGTGATGATTCATTCAAAGAGTCTATCATTCAGAGTGCCTTCGCAGCTACTGGTTTAGTACCACTAGACCCAGATCGGGTGTTATCAAAGCTCAATATTCGTCTTCAATCTCCGCCTCTACCAGATCGACCAGTTTCACAAGGTTCAACATCAGGCAGCAATATCTCCACTGGCATCCCTCAAACGAATAAGCAGCTAGAAAAACGCAAATCTAGGCTCGATTGTGGTCTAAATTCAGCGGCTAATAAGATCTCTTCGCCTACAAAACGTGATCTTCAACAGTTTTACAATATGTCGGTTAAGCTAGTTCACGAGCACATCTTAATGCGGGATGAAATAAAGCGTTTACGGGAGGGAAACAGAAAGCAGACGAAAAAGAGGAAGAAATCAAAGAAGCGGATACCTAATAAAGGTAGTTTAACAGAGGTTTTAGACCTCACTACTAATGTTAGTGGTGAGGGAGGTGGTGGTGTACGATATATATCTGATACTACACCTGCTCTAGAACCCCAGGTTGAACCTACACTTCCTGTTTTACCCCCTGTACGTCGGCAGATTACGTGTTCTAAATGTGGCGGAAAAGGGCATAGGTTTTCTAAATGCCCGCAAAAGATTTAATTTGTCAATTTAATGGTGTTTTGGTTGGGTAAATGATGTTTAAAAAAGAGTAAAAATTTGAAGTTTTGATGGGGTGACGGACCGGCAGGGATGACGGACCCGCCGGGATCCACGTTAACAACAATTTTGCGATGTCCCTAACAATTCCCTGTGCGGCTTGTAAAAGCTGCTGTGTCTGTATCAATTCCCTGGTCACTGCACGAAATGACTGTTCCCTTCGACGAGCCCGTCTTCTTGGTGCACGGGCATGATGACTCTCACGCGAAGGATTTCTTGAACGAATGCAAGCGGGGAAAGGGATAGGCTTCCAAGATAAAGGTCTTCGAGGTCAGGAAAATGGAAGGTTGATGTAATGGCCACCGCGGCCGTATAATACTGCGAGAGTATAATAAGTGCGCTCACTTCCTCTTGTTCAGCGAAAAGAGCTGGCGGCAGCCAAAGGAGCCACGTCTTTAGCGGACGCAGTCTATCGAATGCCTCTTCAATATCGGCAAAGGGACCACCACATTGTATGTTCTGGATGAACTGCAATAGTTCACTAATGTATGAACCATGAAGTTGGTGGGCTAATGAATACTCCATATCGAGCAAATCGGCGGTGAGCGTGTCTAGGATGGTAGGACCAGAGCCACAGAAAATCTCCAAAGAATAGCCATGCTTGTTACTATTCTGCTGATCCAGAAACATGGCTAGCTCAGATCGACGCTTGATAGCTGGTGACATGGCTTTGAGAACCTGTACAATATAGTTAGCTGCGGCCTTTGGCTAAGCACCATGAAGCAGACCTTACTCACACTCGTGATTCCACACTGGAGTGAAACCCATTCCTGCCTGTAAAGCACACGACGAATAAAATTTAGTTCCGTGGATAGTCGATCTTATTGGGATATCGTCGCACCACTCGTTTGCCTGCCATAAAAGCAGGATAGAAGCAGCCAAAACTGCCTCAGAAATACTCTCAGAAAATTTGTGAAGAGATCTTCGTAGGCCGTTTAAGGCAAACCCTTTGTACTGGAGCATTAAATCACTCGTATCGGTGTTTCGGGTGATCCAAGCCATGTGAGAAGCAGAAAACGCCAGGAGTGAGCTCATCACAAACGGTGTTTCTAGCGCTATTGCAAGAAAGCTTTATTAACCGTTAGTCTGTACAAGGGGACTGGACTTTTGGAAAGGATACTAGGTCGACGTACGTGGGCATTTTCTGCACCCAGACGCTGCAGTTACTGATACCACGACGTTCAAAATCCATAGATACTCGGGTAACGTGAAGCAGAAGCCTCAAATCAGTTCCTGTGTATTTATCCCAGAAACCTTCGGGGACAAGCTGCAGATGAGGCAATGGCGCAATACCCGTCATATGCCATCGTCGAAGTTCGGTCATTATTCTCCAAGTCATGAGGAGATCCGGGTGTCTTCTGTTGTGCCCCTCGGCGAGGAAAACCGTATCCGAGTAATCGCAAAGCCGATTCATTCTGGTGCAGTTTTGGCTAAGTGAATCGTTCAGCCATCGACAATCAAGCTGGAATAAGGGAACTATGATACCATTGCGGAAAGGCCTCATCACAGCGGATATGGCGCCTTTTACAATTACCACAACCAATTCTTGAATTCCGGTGGGACTTGCGTGACAAATTCCGGATATTACGACGTCCCATCGTCTCTGCAATAAGATGGAGAGAGATATCCGAATCCGGCCGCAATTTCTTAGGTTGAACAATCGGTCGATAGAGCGGTCTCGACGGCAAGAATCGAACTGGATCTCAAGATATTTCAGAGAAATGACTCGACGCTGTGCCGGCTTTTATTGTTTGACAATCGACCCCCTGGTCCGTACCACCGTCCTCCTGCGAATGAATGCAAATCCATTTGAGTAATAACAATGGAGATCAATTCGAGGCTATGGTCTCCTTACTCAGCCTGTGGCTGTTCTACGATTCGATACTGGTGATTCTGGGGCTAGTAGGCCAACCATTCATCGCTCAAACGGTTGATAAACTTCGACTAATCACCGCTGACATGCTCATGGCGTACCTTTCGAGAACATCACTTGCAGCGCCTGTGGATTTTCCTCGTATTCCAATTCTCAGTTACCAACCTTGCCAGCCCCCGCCCAAAAGGAACAAAAGATGGGTCTTCGTGTCAGGACTAGCCAGAAAATTGCTTCCCTTGTGCCTCATTTTCTTGTGTCCGGTCATAGATCAGCATCTTCCCGATCTCCTCCAGCTTATGCCAGCTTCATCTTTTTTGGTGACTGAAGTGAGAATCCCAGGCTTGGTCACAAGCAGATGCCAAGGGGTTGAGTATCCAAAACCGTGCCTCAACGTTTTCCCACTTGAACCTTTGGGTTTGCATGAGGCTAGCGTTGGTGGCTGCACCTCTACACGGGCCAGGAACTTCGAGAGGACGGAAATGGATGGAGCTCCTAATAACAAACGAATCAGGAGGCAGAAAAGCTTAGTCACAGAAAACGAGGGAACATAGTCGCCTAAGTTATTACGTACGGAAAACGAAAGGGCGCCGAAACGGACATGGGATGACCTGTTCAAAGGCAAAAATTGAAAATTTGTCAAATCTTGGGGATGACAACTTCATTCGCAGATATCACATCATGAAAAGACCAATCATCATCCAGGAATTCAAGCGTTTCATAAGACCACGAGATGAATGCGAGGGAACCACCAACTTCATATTTCTTTTTAGACTGCAGATATCCAGAGACCCTTTGTGGTTGCACCAAAAGAGACGCAAACTTGGTGAATGCCTCACGTAGGCTTTTTGGAATCAAAATTCCCTGTGCTCACATGCTTCTTCTTCCATTCACGAATCGCTTGTGCAATCTTGATTGGTCTTATTTCCACCTATCGCCTTTGGAAAGCGGAAACTGTTCTACTTCGCGGGCTTGAGGGTTCCCAAGACAGATTGAGACAGGTGGAATAAGAGAAGCCTTTTTCAGCCTGCTCGTCAAGTCGTTCGATTCAAGATGAGCATGATCTGATCCCCGCAGATTGGCAGGACATACAGTAAGGGAGGGGAGATCACCCCGAAACCGAGGCTTCATCAACGATTGATCGAAAAGAAATTAAACCCTTCGAATCACTTAATATTGCTTTGTTTGTTTACAATTATAATAATGAAGGCGAATTTGATCGAATCCTTTCACACCCTCTGAGAAACTAGACATAAAAGCAATAATATACAACATGTGTATAGTGATGTATTAGGACATAGTGCGTTTTAGTAGGGTATAGATTTAAGTGGGTCGAAACCTTTAGTAATATTGTATAAAAATCAACATAAGTTAAATAGATAAAATTGAGGCATAAAAGCTGAGCGGGACCTGCACAAAGCCAGAACCTGGTGAGGTGCTAGAGCTGAACGGGACCTGTCATTATTCATCATTTTCACAGGTCCTGTTGAACTTTTCACGGGTCCCGCTGAGCTGGAACCCAAATAGAGGAGTGATAAAAACACACCCCAGTTTACTATTTACATATTTACACACCCCTTTGGCTAAATCAGGTAAAGCGTTGTATGTGTAATACTCAGGATGAATACCCTGTTTTCCCCCCTCTACCTCGGCTCCAACATCTTATCTTCCAATATTCCCCCTCTTATAATATCCTCAGAATCCTACCATCCCCTACAACAACACTCGTCGCTATTAGGAAATAGATGCTGATTGATTTTTATAGCAGAAATCGACGAAACTCAACACGTCAGTTGATGAACGCCACCAATCGAGAATGAAGCAGGAGAATACAGAAGGCTATGCGAGAAGACGGAAGGGGGAAGACGGGGGACGATGGCGGTAAAACTGAGAGGGTACTGAAGAGAAACCAGTGGGATTTTGATTACTGCGGGCGTTTGGGTACGGTTTCCGTGCTGATTTTATATGACAAAACGCCGTTTTTTTTCGATTTGTCGTCTCCTACTCATGGGCTGGCATTTGGATTCCTCTTGCTTCCAAGGAGCAAGCGCCTCCATCGCCATTCCGCCACTAGTTAGGCTGCATTAGGATAAGAGAGTATTGATTGATTGATTGAGTTTGAGCCCCAAAGTTTATTTACGATGAACGCCGACAAACTTTCTTTCCAGCTAAGAATACTGCCCCCAACTTTGAGCCAATTTTGAACACTGGTTGGGCGCTCCCGCCATATATCATCTTTAAGGGCAAGGTTCTTATCGAATCCTGGTTTGATGAGCTTCCAGACCAGTGGCGATTAATGATTAGCCCAAATGGTTGGACAACAGACGAGATCGGACTCGAATGGCTTCAAAAAAGCTTTATACCAGCTATTCAAGGTCGGTTAACAGGCAAATACTGTCTCCTCGTCCTTGATGGGCATGGTAGCCACTTAATACCTCAATTTGACCAAATATGCGACCAAAACAACATCATACCAATATGCATGCCAGCACATTCATCGCATTTACTCCAGCCACTAGATGTTGCCTGTTTTGCCACCCTCAAACGTGGCTACGGCGATTTAGTTAAACGGCAAATCCACAACGGGATCAATCATATTGACAAGCTTGATTTCCTATCTACATATCCAATAGCACGGCAAAAGGCACTTATTACTGCATCAATCCAAAGCAGTTTTAATGCTACCGGATTAGTACCATATAATCCTGATCGCGTGCTATCTAAATTGACTATTCGTCTAAAAGCGCCCACCCCTCCTCCCAGCCGAGGGAGCACTTCTTCAATTGCAAAAACACCTCAAAATACCCGTCAGCTACAGCGACGGGCATTATTGATGAAAGGCCTCCTCAAAGTAGGGTCTCAAAGCCCTCCTTTAGCTGTGCAAACCACGTTAAACCAGCTAGTTAAATGTTCAGAGTTACATATGCACAGAACAGCGCTTTTGACCGAAGAAGTTCGAGGCCTACGTGCAACTGTGGCAAATTTAACCCAAAAGCGCACTCGATCTAAACGTCGGATATCTCATAATAGCAGTATAGCTGCTCATGAGACCTCTACATTGGTAGAGAGCCCTCAACATGCAATTCCGACCGAAGCAGCGGGCACAGCGGAGGTAACAAATCAGGCCAATACACAACCAAAAAGGGCACAAGCACGGTGCAGTGGGTGTCGAGAGACAGGCCATGATATCAGGACATGTCAAAAGCAGTAATTAATTCAATATCAATACGTTGTGATTGATATATATATGTATAGTAAGTGTACTGTTGATGTGTGGCCCACTCGTTTCGGTGGCCCACTCGTTTAGGAATCACGTTAACCTTTTGCTGTGGATTTATCAATTTTTTTGCTGTGGATGTATCAATTCCCTAGTTTTAGGGATAAATACCTTTTCTAGCCATCGTAGGCCAATTGCGTCTGTAGTCCAGACATTATCACTGATTTCGATTCGCCAACTATTCGGTAGGTCGTCGTACCAAGCTTCGTAGTGATAAGTTTTCGCTTTAAAGATAATCGTCGGCGGGAGCACGAAGCCTGTTGAATTCACACATTCGATCGATGTGACCCATTCGCGAGTCCCTGGCTGTAGAACTGACCTCCGACCGTAGTATTCAGCTCTTGTAACCACTTTAGCAGTAGCTATAAGGCCCATCGCGAAGCCAGTCTCATCAAAATTATAGATATCCTCCGGTTGAATACCATTCTCATCGATCGTGCGTCGTACAAGGTCGAACCAAGGTTGGATAACTCTTGGATCTTCGCATTTTGCTCTCTGATAGTCGTATCGACGAGAATAGCGATTGTGCTGAGGATGGCGCTTAATGTAGTTGGTAGGCCAATCGCGTCCAACAGTCTGACAACTGCGCTCTGCTAAGAGAATATTGGCCATATTCCTCACCATGCTAGCTTGGGGAGCTGATCCACGCGCATCCATAGAGGGAATCCACTCTAGGAGCGATTTCTCCTCATTTGCAGTCAATTTATGATTGTTGGCGCGAGTTTCGTCGCGAAAGGGTTGGCCATTGCATCGACGTTGAAGAGTTGCATGAGGTACTTGAAATCGGCAGATGGAATTTCTTTGTTCTGATGGGCTTGTATCGCGAGATGAATCCTACCCTCTTGCTCAACAGAATTTCTTGAATATTGACTGCGAATTGGAGGCATGGTAGGTTGTTGAAGTGAGGAAGTTGACGCGGTGGGGCACCATCGCCAGGACGCAGGTCAGGTCGACAGTAACAGGTGGGTCGGGCCAGACCTAACCGGAATATCTATTTTCCAGGTATAGAGCATAGATTAGTAATCTTTTCTGATTCGCTAGTTCAAATACAGACTCCTTGGCATTACCAACTCTTTCAATCTCCACACCTCCCACCAATCGCGAGCACTCCCAATCTCCCACGCCCATTTCCATCAAGAACAAATTATTAATCTATTATTTTCGAATCCCTGAATCAAAATGGTGCGTTTCCTGGAGTCCCACGCCCCGTACAAGCAGTACGTGGCGGATGCGAAGGCTGGCGTGCTAGAGCTACCTGTGTATGACA